TTGTGCCTGGCATGCCCAGCTCTCTGCCCAGAGCCACGCCGCAGAGGGGACCCCTTCCCAGCCTGGGAGCCCCTTCCTGCTCAGGGTCTAGCATAATCTGTGTGGTTAATTCATTGTTTTATTTTGTGGTGCAGGGATTGAGCCCAGGGCCTCTGCACTGAGCTGTGTCCCTAGCTATTTTTATTTTGAAGCGGAATCTCACTGAGTCACTAAGTTACCCAGGCTCTGCTTGAACTTGACAGTCTCCTGCCTCAGCCTCCCCAGTGCCTGGGACTGAAGGGTTCTTTGCAGATATAAACTCACGTGATGTGATTTGTAGTAAGGAACACATGATAGGCTTAAGAGTCACTTACATATAAACAATTTTTTTTTTGAGACAGTGTCTTGCTATGTGGTTCAGCCTGGCCTTGAGCTCACAGCGATCCTTCCGCCTCAGCCTCTCAAATGCTGGGATCACAGGTGTGCACCACCATGCCTAGCTGTCTTAGAAAACGTGGTGTTCAAATATAAAGCTCTTCCTGGGAGGGATGTCTTCCTCCTTCACTGCCTCCCTGCTCCTCCCTTCCTCCCCTCTCTCTATTTTTTTTCATTTCTTTCTCTCTCTCTCTCTTGGGGAGTACCGGGGATCAAACTCGGGTCCTTTTGCTTCCGAGGCAGGCAGTGGAACCACTGAGCTAAATCCCCAGCCCCTTTTTTGTACCAGGGCTCAAACTCAGGACCTTGCGCTTGCCAGGCGGGCACAGTGCCACTGAGCTACATCCCCGGCCCCCAACCCCTTTTAGAGACAGGGCCCGGCTGGGTAGCCCACGCGAGCCTTGACACCCTGCGGACCTTTCAGCCCTCCTGCCTCAACCTCCTGAGTGCTGGCTTCACCAGCGCACTTAGCCGGTGGGTTTTATCCTTGCTTTTGTAGAGACCTCTGTTACTTGTCTAACATTCTTTTCACAGAGGGCAGAGCAGAAGCAAGTGACCCTTCACCCTGGTTGCATACTATAATCAGACAACATCCCAGTTAAGTACAAATTTCCAGGACTGGGGCTGTCTCAGGATCTTCAATAAGCTCTCAAGTATCTGTTTATGTAAATAAACTCAATTATTTCTGATAATTTTCTGATTAATTCTTGCATATCTTTCCCAACAGCATCATCTTTTTTTCAAACTGAAAAATAACATGCCAGCCACGCCAGCACTAGCCTGTAATCATATCACTTAGGAGGATGAGGCAGGAGGATCTCTGAGAGTTGGTGGGTGTTGTAGGATATACGGTGAGACCCTGCCTCAAAGCAACCCCTGACCTTCTGTGTTATTACTGTAAAAATGCACAGCTGGCGGGCCAGGGATTTAGTTCAGTGGCACTGTGCCTGCCTTGCAAGCCCAAGGTCCTGAGTTCCATCTCTGGTACAAAAAAAAAAAAAAAAAAGCACAGCTGGAATCTTGTCATTAGCAAGATTAGAGGACTGTCCTATAAAAGACCTTGTCCGCATTCCGCAAAAATGTCAATGTCTTGAGAGAAAGAAAAATTTGGAAATTATTACAGTCAAGAAAATTAGAGGGCTGGTGATTTAGCTCAGTGGTGTCACTGCCTGCCTTGCAAGTGTAAGGTCCTGAGTTTGATCCCGTGTACCAAGAAAGAAAGAAAGAAAATTAGCAAAAAGAGAGACATGACAGCTGAATGTAAAAAAGGATGTGAGATTTTTCTTCTGCTGTAAGGAGATTGTTGGGATAATTTGCAAGAGCTCAGTAAAGTCTCACGATTTGCTACAGTTTCACATCCGCCCCTCTGCGGCAGTCAGGGGAACAGGGTTTCACCTCTGTAACTTGCTCTCAAGTGACTGAGAACAAATGCTTGTGTGTATTGTGTGTGTCCCTAGCTGTGTGTGTGAGTGTGCAGAGGGCAGAGACAATGAGAGAATGATAACACAAAGGCAGAAAAACCTAATCAATCTTTTGGCTTTTTTTTTTTTTTTTTGTACTGGGGATCGAACTCAGGACCTTGTGTTCTCAAGGCAGGCGTTGGAACCACTGAGTTAAGTCCCCAGCCCTACAATTTGGTTTTTTGAGACAGGGTCTCACTATGCAGTTCAGGCTGGTCTTGAACTCACTTTGTAGCCCAGGCTGGCCTCGAACTCGTGGCGATTCTCCTGCCTCAGCCTCCCCAGCGCTGGAATGACAGGCGAGCACGACCACACCCAGCTACTAGTTTTGCAACTTTTTGTAAGTCCGGAATTAGGTCATACAACTTTTACAAGGCCGTAAAAAAGGAATCCGACAGGTTCAACATTTCAAATGCAATACTTAGTTTTTGTCAAAGCATCGCAGAGCCACACGGGAGAGATGCTTCCTTAGTGCGCAGACCGCGGGCGGACTCCGGGCTCCTCGAGAGCTGCTGGGCGCCTCCGACAGGGGGCGCTGCAGCACCGCAAAGTCCGGCTCGCAAACCGTCGAAGCGGGACTGGGGGCCTGGGCTCTCAGAGACGCCTCTGCCCACAGATGAGCGCGCCGAGCCTCCACGCGGGAAACCACTTGCTGCAAGGCAGACCCACCGCCAGTCCCCCGGGCTGTGGCTAGCGTTGCTCGAAGCTGTGGCGCTCCGGTTACCGCACGGCCCCCTCGCCTGCTCTCCAGTTCTGCAGCGGAGGATGTGATCAGTCAGTAAGCTCTCTGGTGTCAGAGAAAACAGGAGATTCGAGTTGGGCGCGGTGGCCCAGGCCTGTGATCGCAGTACTAGAGAGGCTGAGGCAGGAGGGTCGCTGAGTTTGAGGGCAGCCTGGGCTACATAGTTTGTTCAAGGCCAGTCTGGACAACATAATAAATAGTTACTGAGTGAACAGACTGATGAAATCAGAGGATCCGGGTGAAGGAAGCAGGGGCGGGGCAGGAGGTAGGTGAGAAAGGAAGCCGGTGAAGCCGGAGGAGGGTCAGACGCTCTGAAGCCTGAACTGAGTTCTGAAGGCAGCAGGGCGCCACTCAAGGATCTGGCTTCTTTCTTTCTGTCTTATGGTACTGGGGATTGGACACAGGCCTTTACACTGAGCTACATTCCCAGCCCTGTGTGTGTGTGTGTGTGTGTGTGTGTGTGTGTGTGTGTGTGTGTGAGAGAGAGAGAGAGAGAGAGAGAGAGAGAGAGTCTAAATTTTAGTTGTCAGGCTGAGCTCTAATCTGAGACACTCCTGCCTCAGCCTCCCTATAGGATTGTGCCACCACGCCGGGTTTGAAAGTTTTGGGTTTCCTGAAAGCAAGGTTAGTTTAATCAGTAGTGAGTAGCAGCAAGATGGGTTACAGAGCAGGGCCTGGAGGGAGTGGGGTGTGTGTGTTAATTGTCTACTGGAAATCCATCCAGGTGCACAGCGATTTATTTTCAAACTAAATAAATCAGCTGCTTTGGCCACAGAGGACACAAGGACGACTGGGCTTGTAGAGATCTTATCTGGGGCTGGGGCTGGGCCTGCGGGGGACGGAGCTGCGGAACTGGAGTTGGAAGCAGACCAGCCCAGGTGCCTGCTGGCCTCGATCCTGTGTTAGGTCCCTGAGCCACACAGCTGCTCTCTGTTCTTCAAGGGTTAACGGCAGCAGCAGTCACAGGACACAGGAATCTGAACTTTTCAGTCCCAGAAGGGATCCAGGCCCTTTCTCCAGATAAAGGAAAAGGAGATTACAGCAGGGAAGCCTCTTCCCAAAGCCCAGGCCTGAAGGGCTTTCTCTGGGCTCAGAGCCCTGCACCCGGAGTCTGGCCCTCCAGTCTGGAAGTGCACAGAAAAAGGGGTTTTTGCATAGGACCAAAGTGGGATTTTTGTTTTTGTTTTTGTTTCGGTACCAGGGATCCAACTCGGGTCCTTGCACTTGAGAGGCAGGTGGCTGCACCACTGAGCTAAATCCCCGGCCCCCAAAGTGGGTTTTTTGAGACAGGGTCTCACTATGAAGTCCAGACTGGCCTCAAACTTGAAGCGATCCTCTGCCTCAGCCTCCTGAGTGCTGGGTTTCCAGGAGTGCAACACCACGCCCAGCTTCAAATAATATTGTGAAGAGGTCTGGGAAGGCCTGTGACACCAGGAACAGGTGTATCTGATTATTCCTTGGCCACAACTGCCCACTTGGCTCCGAAGGGGGCCAGATTCATTCTTGCAATAACCTTGTGTCTGCTGCCCACCACTGTGGTCTTGGCCTTGGTGCCAGAGGCTCCACTGTGAAACAGACTTGGAAGTGGCCTCCTGGTGAAGAGAGAGAGAGAGAGAGAGAGAGAGAGAGAGAGAGAGAGTGTGTGTGTGTGTGTGTGTGTGTGTGTGTGTGTGTGTGAAAGTAGAATAGAAAGTTGCCTCGGGTGGGGGAAGGGATGAATATGTAAATGGGGGACCAGAGGACTCAGCGGGAAGGGAACCCAGACTCTGCTACACTTAGCAAAGTGAAAGAGGATTTTTTTTTTTTTTTTTTTTTTTTAAAAGAAACATCCTGCCGGGGATTTAGCTCAGTGGTGCTGCCACCTGCCTTGGAAGTGCAAGGTCCTGAGTTCGATCCCTGGTACTGAAAAAAAAAATCCTGCAGGGCATGGAGGTACATACCTGTAATCTCAGCACTCAGGAGGCTGAGGCAGGAGGATCAAGTTCAAGTCATGAGTTTAAGGCCAGCCTGGACTTCATAGTGAGACCCCATCTCAAAAAACAAAAACCTGAAAAACTATCTTTGTTCCCAGGAGAGGTGACCCTGTGGGGTGGGGCATGGCTGTCGCTGATGCTGTGGCTCAGAGCGCAGAACCGAAACCTTCACCATCAGCGCTCTCAGGACATCAGATGTGACTTTCTGCTTCCTTCTTCAAGCCCCGGGCCTAGCCAGGGGCTTCAGGGCTGCAGAGGCGATGAGCACAAACTCAGGGCTTGCAGAACTGATAGAAGAGACGGGCGTGGTGGCGCACACCTGTCATCCCAGCACTCGGAGGCTGAGGCAGGAGAATCACCTCGAGCTCAAGGCCAAGCGGGGCTACATAGTGAGACCCTCGGGGCTACAAAGTGAGACCCTGTATCAAACAAAAAACAAAACCCCCCAAACAATTGAAATGCTCTATTTTAAAAGCTCTGGTGGCGACGCCACTGACAGCCGAGTGTAGCTTGGTTGTCAGGCTGGCGTGCACTCCACTCCGTGACCCTAAGTAGCAGTGACAATCACAGAGCCTAAAAGCTGGTGACAACTGGGGACAGGGCTAAGGCTTGGGTGGAGCTAACCTAGAAAGGAGGCGTGCCTTGCATCTCATTATACCACCACCCAATCAGGTCACCATGTTCCTGCATCACAGCGGAGAAGGCGGAGCCTCAAAGCCACGCCCTCGCGGGAGCGTTTGCGTCTGGCCTGCACAGTCTCCCATCTGGGTGTGTGGGTGACTCGGTGACGTCATCGGCTTTCTATTTCCACGAGGAGACGCCGCGTGCCAGGGGCCGTGGGAGGGGTGCGGCAGTTTCCGCCCGTGGGAGTGAAGCTCTATTCCCAGCTGCGCCCGGCTGGGACACTCACCAGGCCCTGCTTCTGGCAAACCAAGCAGCTCCGCCCCTGTCCTGCGGACCAGGGTGGCTCTGTGCGTTCTTGTCCGGAACCTTCGGCACTTCAGGAAGCTGAGACAGGAGGATCTCTTTGAGTACAAGACCAGCCTGAACTACAAAGCAATACCCCATCTCAAAAAAACAAAACCGAGCCGGGTGTGGTGGCGCACGCCTGTAATCCCAGCACGCAGCAGGCTGGAATTAAAGGAATGCACCATCACACTAGACTATTACTTGTGTGTTTTAAAATCAAGAAGATGTGCTGGGTGTGGTGGTGCACGCCTGTAATCCCAGCACGCAGGAGGCTGAGGCAGGAGGATCACTGTGAGTACCCGACCAGCCTGGGTTACACAGTGAATTTCAGGTCATTCTCAACTACATAGTGAGACCCTGTCTCAAACCTACACCCCCATCAAGAAGATGAACTGGGAGATAGGATCAATGTACATTTAGAGACTAGAGCTCAGGAATGCAGTTTAGAGGTAGATAGGGCTAGTAGAGATTATTTTAAAAATCTGAGTGTAAATGCCCTTAGGTGGGGTTTGCAAATTTCCCCGACTTTGTCCCCTGGCATCCGAGTTTGACTCATGTCGTTGGAGTCCTCTGTTAACTTCTGTGGTTACCTGGGCCCTCTGCCTACCTGTGTCTGTCTCTTATCCCGAAGGGTTAATTTATTCCAGTATTCACAAAGCAAAGGTGGGTTTGCTGTATGTGGTAGAGTTTCCAACTTTGAAACTTGGCCTCTCTCTGGAGCGGATAGTCCTGGTGAACTACGTTGGTGATCTTTATGGATAAGAATGAGGATCCACGATACAAACAATGACTAAAGCCTGGTCGGGTGGTGTACACCTGAGTCCAGCCTTCTGGAAGGCTGAGGGAGGAGGACCACGGAACTGAGCCCAGCCAGGACAGCTTGGGTTCAATCGGAGAGCTGAAAAACAAAACACAAATCACGTGAGTACACGATAGTCACCTCTGCTCGTCCTGCGTATGCTTATTGAGAGCTGCTCTGTGTTGGGCCGTGATGATACACAGTAAAGAAAACAGGGCTGGAGATTGGGCAGTGGTGCTGCCCCTGCCTCACAAGCACAGAGTCCTGAGTTCCATCCCCGGTACTGCAAAACAAACAAACACACGCCAGATAAAAGTGGAACTTGAAGCCGGGCATGGTGGCACACACCTGTCGTTCAGGCTATTTGGGAGGCTGAGGCAGGAGAATTGCTTGAGTCTATGAGTTCAAGACTAGCCGCAACAGCATAATGAGACCCTGGCTCAAAAAAAATTTTTTTTTAAAAAGGAACTTTTTAAAAAAGTTCTAGCATGGAGGAGAAATGAGCAGAGGAGATACTGTTACATGATAACAAGTGCTAAGAGGAAAGGAGTGTTAAAGAGAATTTAGGGGAGACCCTGCTTTGACTTGAGCCCCGACTAGGCCCTGACAGACCATACCAAACCAAAATGGAGTCACTCGTGCTAAAAGTCACGTGGTGGAACCGGAAGTTGAAGGAACCAGACTTCAACACAGACTAGGTTTTCCTAAGAGCAGAAAATTCTAGTCTATCTCAGCCAGCTGATTAGGGAGCCCTCTGCTTTAACCCTTACAAAACAGTAACCTGCCCTTAGAATTGGCTCTTATTTTTCTGTTATTCATGTCACTGTTTCCACTCTAAAAGCTACTGCTCTGGACTCGCCCAGGAGGAAGACTTAATTCTGTTTTGCAGAGCAGGGGCTTTCCCAATTCATGAATTGCAAAGAAGAGCAATTTGATCTCTAAAATTAGATCAAATACACAAGCAATTAGGTCTGTAAGGAAATTGATAGCAATTTTGGTGTTCCCAGGTAGGAAATGTGGGAGGAGGAGGAATTAGAAGTTAGCTATCAGAGGCTTTGCTGAGAAAAGGGACATTTAATAAAAAACCCTGAGTTAAGTGAGAGTATTGGCTACATGGGGGGAAAAGCATTCTCGGCACAAGAGAGGAGGCTGAGGCAGGAGGATTGCAAGTTTGAGTTCAGCCTGAGCAACTTCATGACTTCTCAGGACTCGGGTTCAAAATAAAAAGGGCTGGGGATGGAGCTCAGGGTGAAGGCCTTGGATTCAATCCCCAGGAACAGAAAAAAAGGAGATCCTGAAAGGAATGAATCCATTGGCCGGGTGGACGCGGGTAAGCGAGGCTGCTGGGTCCGGTGCTCCGCAAACTCTTCCGCTGGAGGAGCTGGGTGTGGTGGGGGACAGGGAGGGGCTGGGCCTGGCGGGCTTCCTGCTGAGTCAGTTTGGTGCGGGGAGTGGCGCTCGGTGCTCTCCGCGGAGGGGCAGGTCCTTGCTGACCACAGTGGGCGCCCCCTTGGGGCCCGCAGCCCGGGGGGTGGCATCGTGGGTGGGCCCCGCTGCCAGTGGGAGGGGACGGCTCGGGGTGACTTGTCCCTCTCCAGGCCGGCCCTGTGCCCTGAGCCACCGCGTTCCCTGGGCTTGCTGCGCCCACGCCGGGCACCTTCATCCATACAGCGGGGAGTAACAGGACAGGGCCCAGCGCCTGTGCCCGGCTGGCTGAGCCTTCAGACTGGCTCATGAGAAGGGACAATCGCCAACATCACCGAGCACGGCAACGGCACCACTCGGTGTTCAAAGGACTCAACGTGTTTTGTGCCCTTTTCCTTCCTTTCTTTCGACAGGGTCTCCTGGTGTAGCCCAGGTTGGCCTCGAACGCAGGCGACCCTCCTGCCTCAGCCTCCGGAGTGGTGGGATGGCCCTGGCAGGGTGCCCGAGCCTCCCCTTCTTGTGACCAGGTGACCTGCTGCCCTCAGCCTCCGAAGCCCTTCCCCGAAGCTGTCAACAGGGGCCCTGGGGTGCTGGAGTCCCTTCCAGGCACCTGCTGTCTTGTTCAAAGAATTGATCAAGACAAGCAAAAGAAGTAGCGAGGCTTACAGTTGTTAAAGGCGGCGCGAGTGTGGGCAGCCGTTGTGGGAGCGAGGGGCGCTGGGCCCCACGCGGGGCTCCCAGGGGCCGCAGCCCAACCCCCAACCCGCCGCAGTCTTCACGGCCCGCTCTGACTTCAGACCCGGGCCGGCCCATCTGGAGCTGCCACGCTGTTCTGCGCATGTGTCCTGGCGACAGGTCACGCCCTCTTGCCCAGCTGCCTCGCCACGCCCTAGTCTCCTGCCTTAGACCCACTGGTGGCCTGTGGGCCCCAGGAAATCCAAGCGTCACCAGATGCCAAGGCCACCTCCGCGCCAAGATGTCCTCAGAAGCCCTTGCAACACCCATGTTTGAGAAACAGTGAGGTTAGGAAATGGGAGTTAAAAACAGAGTAGGCAGAGGAGGGTGTGGGGTTTATGTCAATGGGGCGGACTTTGGAGGTCAGGAGCCCATTCTCTGACCGTCCGTCCATCCAGCTACTCTTTCTCCAGTTCATTCATCCATTCTTGCAACGCCCTTAAACGTCTACTTCGTGCGACTCAGATGGTCCCTGCCTTTCTGTGTCAGTGAAGTCGAGTTTAAAAAAGGTAGAAAATACTGAGTTTCTGTCTCACGTTAAGCTTCTCAAAGAGGAAACAGGCAGGCGTGGTGGTGCACACCTATGATCCTAGCATTCTGGGAGGCTGAGGCAGGAGGATCTCAACTTTGAGCCCAGCCTGGGCAGTTTAGGGAGGTCTTATCTCCAAGAAGGGCTGGAGATGCAGCCCAGTGCAAGGTCCTGAGTTCAGTCCCTAGAAGGGAGAGGGGGAAGAAGAAAAGAAGGGAAGAAAGGAAGGAGGCTCTGTCTTCCCTTGGGCTCCTCTGTTACAACAGCTGCAATCAGGTCAGCCTGAGGGAGCCTGGCGCCGATCCATCTGCTCTGAGGGTACCCCGGGCTGGCGCGGGGTTTCTGGTCTCCTTCCAGGGGAATCCGCAGGGATGGAGACCTGTGCTCGGAAGCTCTGCGGAGTCCACATGGACCCGGGGCTGCAGTGAACCAGCCTTGGGCCAGCCCGCCTTCCTTGAAATCATGTCCCCCTGGGGCTGCTGCTGTCTGTCTTCGAGCCTCGGCTCCCTTAGGGACACCACGAACATCCTGTGAGGAGGAGAACGCTAAGGATCGTGGGGGGCCTGCTGTCTTCCGGCTCTGATCTGAATTCTGGTTGTGTGTCACTCCTTTAGTCCTCCATGAAATGAAGGAAGTATAGCACAAAGGGTGAAACAGCAGCAGGGCCTAGTGCTGCATGCTTGTTATCCCAGCACTTTGGGAGGCTGAGTCAGGAGGATCCTATGATTGAGTCCAGCATGGGCAACTTAGGGGTTTTCGTGAGTCTCTGTCTCAAAAACAAACAAACAACAAACAAACCATTTAAAAGGCCTTGCAGCTCATCTGCAGGGCCTGATGTTGGCCTCTAGCGTCCTTTCCTGCCATCCCTGTGGTAAAATGGGATGACTCACTCACTTACATCTTGCTGTCACAGGCCACAGAAATTCATCAGCGGGGGCGGAAAAGGCCCACTCATCGTGGGTTCTGGCATTGGAGATAGCGAGCCGCTGGGTACGTGGGTCTGGTGACTTGCAAGCTCTGTGACCCGAGTTACGATGGGCACGTTCTTAGGGTGTGTGTGTGTGTGTGCACGCGCAGGCAATGACAACTACACTGTGACTGTCCCCTGGCCACCAGTAACTCGAAATGCCATCGGGCATGCATGTATTGAGTTATGCTATGGAAATATGTGAAAAAGTGTTGTAAATTTAAGGCAGTACAACATTAAAATATAAGTATTCCTCCCCGTACCAGATGTATTAGTTACTTTTTTTTTTGAATCAGGGTCTCACTGTGCAGCCCAGGCTGGCCTCAGAGTTGCCGGGGTCCTCAGCCTCCTGAGTGCTGGGATTAAGGTGTGCACCATCATACCAGCCTCTCTTATTGATTTTAGTCCCACAAGTAACACATGATCATTGTGGAAAATGAGAAAATGGAAATAAACTAAATGAAAAAGTGGTCAAAACAATTTGAACTGAGCTGAAGTCTGCTGGAGTATTTGTGCTAATAAATCTTTCTGCCTTAGAAAACAACAGCAACAAGGGAAAGGGAAAAAAATATGAGAAAATGTAAAAATGGAATTAAGTGTTTGTAGGTGGGGAGGGGAGGAGGGGGTGAAGGGAGGGTGGGGACGAGGGGAAAAAATGAGAACCAAGACCTGTCATGCACAGGTACAAGATCCCAGTAATAAATGTAGCTGCACTGTCTACCTGGAATGTACCAATAAATTCAATTTAAATTTTAAAAAAACCCAAAAAACCAGTTGGAACTGTCACCTCCATCATTATTGTGTAGATGTATTAACTTTTCTCTGTGTGTACACTTCGTTTTTTTCTATGAAGTGGGATTTTTTATTGTATAAATTCAATGTTTTTTTCTTTTTTTTTCCGGTGCCAGGGATCGAACTCGGGATTTTGTGCTCACGCGGCATAACCAATGAGCTAAATCCGCAGCCCCAAATTCAATGTGTACATGTGTTGCAATTTTCAGTTTACTGTCTCCTGAGTGTTTACAGTGCTCTACAGAGCACTATACATTGTAACAAAGTAGTAGGCGGTTAAAGTGCTGTGGCTGGAGGGTTTTGTTTTTCCAGTGATGTAGGAGAGCGATAACTCCCAACCTGCTAGATGTCAGATCTACCCAGTTTCTGCTCCCTGAAATCAACGATAAATTCCAAGGGACAAAGGAAATTAAGAGCAGGAAAGGTCTTGGGGGATCGGCATGGGGAATGGGAGTAGCCCGTGAGAGAGAGGGGAGATCTGGAGTGGGTTCCCTATGAAAGGGAAGATTTTAAAAATTCATCTTTAATTAGTCTTTTTCGTGACACAGTGTCTTGCTTAGTGGTTCAGTCTGAACTTGAACTCACTATGTAGCCCAGGCTGGCTTCAAACTGGAGTTGATCCTCCTGCCTCAGCCTCCCGAGTGCAGGGATTACAGGCGTGTGCCACCACGCCCGGCTGTAGGTAGTTTCTGATTTCTAAATTTCAGTTATTCAGCAGTTTTTTTTTTTTTTTTTTTTAATTGGATCTCTTCTGTGCATCAGCTCCTTCTGCAGATTTTCTGGGGTAAAAATGCCCCTCTCGTCATCATCTCTGTCATTTTGTTTTCTTTTCCGAGATGGTCTCAAACTTTTCGGCTCAGTTGAAGCTCCTGCTTCAGCTTTTGGGTAGCTGGGGCTACAGGCGTGGATCACCATGTCTGGCTTTCATTGTCGGCTTTTCTTTTTTTTTCCAGGACCGGGGATCAAACCCAGGGCCTTGTGCATGCTGGGAAAGATCTGTATCACTAAGCTACATTCCCAGCTCATTTTACTTTTTATTTTGGTGATGGGGGGTTACTACCTTTCTGAGTTCGCCATTGGTTTTTTGTTTGTTTGTTTTGAGACAGTCTCACTACATAGTTGAGACTGACCTGGAACTCACTATGTAGCCCAGGCTGGTCTCGAACTCACAGCGGTCCTCCTGCCTCAGCCTCCTGAATGCTGGGATTACAGGCATGCACCACCACGCCCGGCTTTTCCATTGGCTTTTAATATGAGTTGCCAGAGTGTTTCAGAGACGGGACTGGTTTCCTTTCCCACTTGCAATGTGTAATTCTCCTAGGACCCTCCCCACATGTGCCTGTGCAGGCTTCACTTTTGGGGTTCCCCGCAGTTGTCCTCTCCACACCTAGGCCTTGTGCAGTGCCCCCCAACGTCAGCACCCCCAACAGAGGGTGCAGACAAGCAGACGGCACGGAGGACGCCGGGAAGCCGATTTCCTCCTCCGCCACTTCTCCGTTCAGTTTCATCAAGTGTCTCGGAAGCGATCCAGGCCGCTCTCTCTTGATCTCGCCACAGCCGGAAGTCGGTCTCAGCCCTTGGCCCAAGTTTTTCACGTTTAGAGCAGGAATGGCAGCAGGGCCCACTCCCTAGACTCGTCCAGAGGGCCGAAGACATTCTCTCTGGTCCTATAAGCACGTGTCACCTCGAGTCCCCAGAACCCGTGTCCAGCGGTCTCTGCTTTGGGTGACACCCTGGCTGTCAACTTCCGGGCGGTGTGCAGCGGGGCAGGCGTGTGCTTATGTGAGCACAGCCCCTGCCGTCCCACCCCGACTCCCCGGGGAACAAACCCCTTCCAGTGCTGAGAGCGACAGGTGGGCCGGGGCTGGCACCCGGGTGTGGCCCAGCAGGCAGGAGGAGACTCTAGGTGGTCGCTGTCCGCTGATTCCCAGCACCGCTGTGCTCCGTCTGTACCTCGCTTCCCTTCTCTGAGCCTCCCCTCCCTCC